ATGGTCAATGGCTAACCACTGTATGGCTTTATGCAAGTCACTTTTATCTATGAGCTAAGTCTCTCATTTGTAGAATAGGCGAGGACCAAGGTCTACTTCCTAGTCTAGTAGTGGTAGTAATTATGTGATTAACGAAAGCAGTGAGTAAGACTAACTACAAATGCCCTCCTACTCCAGGTAGCCAGTAGCAGCTTAAGAATGACCAACTCTGCATCCAAAGCTACAATGTATCTAATATGCACAGGAGACTTGCCAGCAATGAAGCAGGTTGTCAGTGTTTCTGAAGGCTTTGGGGGAGCCTAGAGCGATCACATTTTGGTGCTGATTGCCATCTTAGAAAAAAACATGGGAGCTCAAGGTTTACTGGATGATGACTGCAGTACTCCAACAACCTAGAGATTCAGAGGACCACAGGGGGCATGTGAGGTGCTCTGAGTCTCCTTCACCCGTCTTGGGGCAGCTCTGCTTTCCTTTCACAGCAGTGCATGCTGGGGGCCCTGCAGGGGAGTACATCTGAATAAGCGTGCCATGTGGCCAAGGGCAGGACCTGGGGGGGACACTGGTTTACATCCTAGTTCTCTCACTGCGCAACTCTGTAAACGCTCAGATTCTCCCACAGAATAGAATGACAGTACTTTTATTAGGACAACGAATGGAATAACATACAAAGTTCTTAGCATTATATTGCATCTGGCTTTTGGTAAGTGGTACCTACATTTGTCATATTCCTAACACACAGAGATGCCCCCTCACTGTACCATCCAAGGAGAGAAGCAGATATGAAGAGGGGCAGGTACAGAGACTGTAACTGGGTGTGGTTAAACTTCTGCTAAGGAGGATAAGTGAATCATTTTAGATCCCCAATGCTGGTATTTAAGGGTTCTGCCTTTTTCCATTTTCTTGGTTCCCTTGCTCCCGAGGTTATATCCAATCCTTGGCCTGCTATATGATGAAACACCAAGAGTTCTTTCCTTTAGGGATGGCCCCAGGCAGTACTTTTTGAGGCCATCTAAGAACTGAGGTGGGACCCAGGCTGTCTAGTCCCTAGGTAGAGTGGCTGTCCAGGGAGGAGCACTGTCTGTGGTCAGGGACTAAGTTCCCAGCTTGAAGCGGTGTACGGAAGTCTCAGTGTGTTCTCTTGAGGGAGATTCTGGAGCCCGTGGTAGGGGCGG